CCTCTCTCAATTAAACTGCCATCTCCTAATCTCACCATTTGGCCTTTCACCTCCTTGAAAGCTCACAATTCTTGATCTTCTTAATCTAGGATCATTACCATCAATCACTCCTTCAGGCAAGTGAAATCTTTTTTTCACAGAGGGATGCCAGAGGCCTACAGATCTTTTGGGTCGATAATATTGTTTTAGTTCTGGTGTCAGTTGGTTTTTGACTAAACTGTGCCTAGTGCTATCTTTTGCTGATTAGATGCTCCGGAGTGATCAGCAGAAATTTGCTTGGACGGTGGTTCCTTCCAGGTTGAGTCATTTAGTGGGGAGATCAAGGATTAACTTAATTTAATCAACTACTACTTTCACAGTGTTAGGGATCCTGCTAAGATTAATGAGGACTAAGGTTAATGAGGACCAAGTTTTCCTTTCCTATGTCTTAGTATCTTTAAGATAGTACCACTCACCAGACTTGCCTCACTGCAGCTCCCCTCACATCCTGTACGCTGTCCATTATACATATATTTCAATGTCTTATCCATTTGCTTCTCTGAAACGGATCATTCTGAGTTTTCCTACATCTTTTACTGAGTACAAGCTTTTCTGCTGGCCCATTTTGCAAGGCTCCTTCTCATTCATCTATTCCCTGAAGCACCAACCCAAGTGGTTGCACAAAATACACAAATTTCTCTTTGTGTATAATTAACCTACTGGACAGTGCTGTGGTAAACACACATTTAGATAAACACAAATTATTATTGTTTTAACCCATGTCCTCTTTGCTTCCCTGCTGTCTGCACTGTTCTCATAGGGCCCACTGAAGCACCTACTGCACTGCCAGGTTCTGTAAAAAAGAAAAAAATACTAAGATAACAAACCTTAGAAACAAGAAAAATCTCAAGGCATACCAGATTGCAATGTTTGAATGCAATTTTTTCAGAAGCTCTTCCTGGATTTTTTCTCCTCTGGTACCGTGATGCTAGTAACAAATGCTAGTAACACCAGTTTCAGAAGTCCTGTCCCAGGAGTAGTACCATTGATGTTACTGATACACTGAAAGAACAGAAAACAACTTCACAGAGCAAATGTATTTTCTGAATGCTGCTGAAGCTTTGGAAATGTGATGCATTTATCTGAATTTCTCTAGTTAAACTTTCTCATTATTTGTTTTTACATATGTTTCTTACCTTTTAGAGATTTTTTCATATGTTCGGATTTTCTTAAATCCAGTGTATAAATCCAGCATAATTCAGAATTATAACATGGAAATATGAGGAGAGAATTATTTCAGGAGACCTAAGAACAGATTTGTGTATTACATGTGTTTTAAAAAAAAAACAAACTGTCAGCAACTAACCACACAAATTCACTACATTTTTAAAATTACAAATCTAAAATAGAAAGCACTACACACTACAGATTTAATAACTCTATTACTTATTAATCTAAAATTTTCCAGTCGAAAGATACTATCTTAGCAAACATTTAGCAAAGTCCCTTGGTACACTAGACATAATTGGTCTAATAATTTTTCTTTGGGTTTTTATGTTACCTTTTGGTTTACATTTCCTAATTTTTAAAGGCTTTTCAAAACTTTCAGAAAGTGCAAGATCCTGAAAATTTTATGTAAAAGCACTCTTGGATCCTTGTGCTTTTTTTTAGGAGAATATGGAACATATTTGGGAGGGGGTTAAACAAAGGAATAAATGCACATTATAATACTAATACCAGCTATAAAAATGTTACTCCTGATCACCTTGTGTTGTTTTCAAGGGCTTTGAAATTATTTCCCTAACGAATCTTGATGGATTAAAAAAGAAAAATAAAACGATTAATAAAACCATATATGCTGTGTTCTCTTGAAATGCACTGGCTTATCAGCATTACAGATGCTCTTTAAATAGCAAATGGATGCATCCCTGGTGTCAGCCACACTGAAAGCTTGCCAGTACTGCCTTCCTAAAGTGCTCCATCTCCAATCCATCCAGGTAGGCTAAAAGAGTCTCTCTCACCTAGTCCCTTGCAGAAGTTATCAGTCAAAATGCAAATGAGTTGTGATTATGACTTTTTTTTTAAAACAAAGGTAACATCCATTCCTGCAGAACTGCCACCTATTTAATCAATTTGGTCAAGCTATTTGTACACATTTCTTCTATGTGGCATAAGATTTCCCTAAGGTCACTGGAGACATTGATGCCTGGTAAATTGCCAGTAATCAAAGGTTGTTAAGTGCTTGTCAGCTTCCTTTCAAGCTAAGTCTATCTTTATCATGAGGCAGACTTATTTCAGCAGCTAGAGACCATTTATTCATAAATGGATCACACTCAGGAATAATGCATTATATCATTAAAATATCCATACTGCTGCAGAAACATTTGTTCTAAAGCAATCTCATTTTTCTGAAATAACACTGTGGCCAATGAAAGTGAAATCTTGTCATGTCTCTGCAGCAAGGCTACTCTCCCACACATGAAAGGTTTTGTTTCCCAGCTCCTCCTCTCTCCTTTGAGCCCTGTCCCCCAGGGCCTGTGTTTAGCTTAGATTCTGGAATATATGCAGGAAAAGAAATGTTATTTTAGAGTTTTAGTTGCACTTGGAGTTTACTTCAGTTTCTCCAGATGCTCTCTCCAGTTATAGTACTTTGCTGGCCACAAAAAAAAAGGCCAGTTAACCTTAAATGGAAAACATTTAGGGGAGACGGTGATGAACTCTCTTAAAGATACAAAGATCTTCTTTTCAGACATCTTGATTAAAACCATAAAATAATAAATTGAAAAAAACTGAACAAGTAATTAATTGGGGAAATCAGTATAGCTCCACTGAAATGATGAGCCCACATTACTTAATTCCACCTGTGCACTACATTTAAAATATGTTCAGGACTACCTGGTACTAAAAAAAAATAAATCTGTGAAGAAATTTCATAGTCTTTTGAAAAAACGTGTCAGAGTTAAATGCTCCTGGAGAATTATCAGAAGAAGATACATCTATCCAAGCTATCAAATTGTTCATAAGTTTATTGGCAGGAAAAGATATGGTTGCAGGAAGAATTAAAGAAATTCTGAATGGTAAATTAGTAATGAAATACTCTTATCAGTGGAAACCTTTGGAGAACACCCAAGACAGACTTGAACTGAAAGGTAGCGATGATCATTTATTATTAATAAAACTTTTGCTGAAGGAGTCCTGTGCAAGGACTGTTCTCTTTCCCCACAATATCTGACCGGCAGTCATATGGATTGCTTTTTGACAAAGACTGCTAGAGTTTACCATTTGTGATCAGCTACAAGTAAGTGGAAGGCTTCCTTTGGCAGTGTAAGGTGCTGTGCAATATGACTCAACAAGGGCTGTAAAAGGCATAGATTTTCTTTGCCCTAAGAGCAGCCTTGTTCCCATCAGACATCTCAAAATCAGACCACTGAGATGCAGTCAGACACTGAACGATATAACCCTACCAATCTGTTTTCCTTTAGCAATCCTCCTTTGCCTCTCTATTTTGGGCATACAGTGCTGCTTCCAGGACTGACAGTTTGGGGCCAGTTACAATCAGCAGCTTGAGGGCTGCATTTATATTTGAGGCAGCCATCTTCTTCTTTTCCCAAACCCTCTTTCCTCATGATAAGGCTGCAAATAAATGATGCTGTGAGCACCGCATCTGGGAAAGCTGAGAGTTTGCAGAGGCTAGGCTGGTTCTGTGTAATGACAGATAAACAAACCTGAAGTATCCTCATACCAGAACCTTACTACTTCTGTTCCTGAGCACACCATATCTTCAAATTAAATTTAAACAATACCTAAACAAACTCACTTATTCTAAAATCATAAAACAACAACTCTGTGGACACATACCTTTAAATTATTTGAAAGATCTTTTCAATAACTTGCAGCAATTGCTTAATATATTGGAAATTTCACAATTTCCCCAGTGCACACATCCTGAATGCTACAGGACCTCATTCCCCTCTTAAAACTTTCATATGACCTGCAACTACAAGATGCTGCCATAAAATAGCACACTGGTACTAGAACCATCCTCTGGATGAAATCAATGCTCTTTGTGCATAAACACAGCTTAAGGAGAAATAAACAAAACACAGCCACTGCACTCCCTTAAAACAGGGTAGATTGCACACCAGTATTTTGGTTAGTCAGCCACCTCGCCAGCAATCAAAATAAGCAACTTAATTACAAATGTTATTTTTGGAACCTGAAAGGAGTTACAGCACAGAGGACGTCATCTATCTGCATTTATGGTGCTTTCATTTGTAAATTCATCTTTCAAGCAAAAGCCACATATTTACTTTATATAAATTTACACTCACTCTTACCTTGAACAGTCTCAAAGTTATCAGTCACATTCCACACATCAGCATGAACTGAGAAGAACCATTGACACCCTTCCTAAAGTGTTTTAGAGGCCTCTCTCTCTCCAACAGGGTGATAGGTTTGAGGGACCCATCATAATCATCAGTGTGATGGAAGTCTGTGTTACCCTGAATGGTGCCTGTGCCTAAGGTACCAAAATATTGTAATGTGTGACTTGCTTGCACTTCTTGTTTCCTCCCTCATGACACGTACAATACCATTCACTTGCTCACTGTGGAAAGTTCACATGATTTCCATCACAGATTTCAAAAACTCCAAAACCACCCAACTGATATTTCCTGTCAATTTTTCTCTCCACTCCTCTGTGTCAGGAGCAGTGCAAGATCTTGTAAGCTGCACTGCGGGGAGTCAACATGCTCTTAGGTGATGGCAGCATACCAGTATTAATTTGACTAACCTAGTTCCAGCATGCAGTATGCAATTATTTCCCACTCTCCTCCTGATTTTTCCCCAGCCTATTTTCATTTTAATTTATATGTTGGTAAAGATTCTACTTTAAAAAAAGACAGATAGTACACAAGCCTTCCATTATGCTGCAGCTGCTGCTGTTACACTTGTCACTAAAAAAAATCTCACCTTGTGTGACAATGGGATTTGAATCACAATTGCTAAATATATCATATATATAAATTTGATTGCTTTGCTTTATTTTTCCTGAAGGGGGAAAATGTGAGGGAAAAACCGTACAGTTCATTTCATGCTTCACTACAGTGTAATTCTAGACCCTAAGATTTCGACCATTCCTATTTTGGTAATGAATGGAACGCAAAAGGGAGGTATTTAAAATTAATTGCAGCAGTTCTGAGGGTTAAACCTGCTTAACCCAACCTTTTATTAAGAGAATGTCAACAGAGCATATATCTTGTCTAGGGAGTGCTGGGACATCATTATTCTTCTACCAGCATGTTTAATTCTAAAACCTGGGATTTCTTCAGGTTCCTGTTGGCGTCATGCACACCATAAACCCATCCCAAATCATAGCATCTGTTCTGAGCTACTCACTACAGCAGGATTTGACCTGAGAAACTCTAGAGTTTTGTTTTACTTTATTAACTTGGAGTACTTTTAAACAGTTTTTAAACAAAGTTTTTCCCTTGACCAGCAAGGGAATTTTCAGCCTTAAGTTCTCAGCAGCATCCAGTGAAGCTCTTGGCCAAGTTCTCCAGATACTGTATATGCACAAGGACAGCCTGCTGGCTCTTGCTGTGGCATTTTCTTAATCCTCAGAACAGATTTCCTGGATCTAGGAAATTTAATTCCTGACTCCTTTGACCCAGATGCTGGCAAAAATGTAGTCTGCAGTCTGTACGTAAATATGTGTGTTCAATTTTTTTTTTCCTTCTAGGAACTGGCCTTGCTGTTAAATTTTTCTAAAACAGTCATATTAATATGTTCAAAAATCCACTGTTGAGTTTCAGATAAAGGATCACATCTGTTCATGAAAATCTTCTTCTCAGCTGGGTTGCAATCTATGCAGCTGCTGCTTACCGGATGGAACAAAGTTTTGTCCTACAGGAATGAAAAAAAATAGAATTAAGTAGCAAATGCCAAATCATTGGAAGTGCTCTAATTTTACAGAACATGGATTAAGAGAGCCCTGTTTGAAATGATTTTTTGGTCTCTGTGCAGTAACCTTGTGTAATAACAACAGCTATTATTAGAATTAGAAAGCTGTAGAGAATGGAATTTCCTTCCCTTGGGCTATTATCCTTTATGAAAATGGGGATTCAAGAAAGAGGGAGATATCATCTGGTCTTTGACTAACAACTGCATAATATAATGAAAAAACAGAATGTCTTTTAATATCTTTGCATACCACATATTTGCTTGAAGCCCATTTAAATGTCTGAACCTGAAAAATTGATTTGTTTGGGGCTTTTTTAGAGAAATCTTGCTCTTGACAGGGTTGTGTTTCTTGGCAGGGGGAAGCTGTAAAATCTTCAACTTGCTGAAGACTTTAAAAATGAATTATTAACTGAAGTGGTGGACAGATGGACACAGGATTGATGTTCTCATCCCATTCAATGCCTGTGGCCTTGCTAAGACCAGCCACTGAAATACACTCTCTCCCCTAATAACATGGAAATCTTAACACTGATTTAGCTCCATATGGAGATTTTGTGAGGGTAGGCATGGATTAAGTTGCTTAAAAAAGCATATTTATGATGATTAGTTTTATTAATTTTACTTCACAAAACTGGAGCGATTAGTAAGTAACCTGATGTGAATCTTTGTGAAAGCAGTCAGTTGAGCAGGTGGTGAGTTAGGTAGTTTCAATATACTTAGTTGATGTAGGCAAGTGTTTTTAGAAAGACAGATGTGGGAGTCATTAGATGGTTTGAAAGTTTCCAGGGACTATACTGCATCTGTTGAAATAAATTTCAGATTACACTTGGTAAACCACATTCAGGCTTTTCCCCTCCATGTCAATGATTGCCCTGACATTATTTTAATACTAATCCAGGATGTGCCTGCTTGCCCAGTTTGTGATAGGAAAAAAATCTATTTTTCAAATTGCAATTAATTAAAAACTGACACAAGTACTCTGGGTGCAAGCAACAATCATAGAAACTTATCTTTAAAAATACTGCACATTTGAAAAAAAAAAAAAAACAAAAAAAAGTACGACAACAAATAGAAACAGCAGCTATTTAAAACCACTTCGAAAAATTAAGGTTTTTTTTTAATTTAGGAAAGATTAAGTTCACTGATTTGTGGTTTGTGAAAAAATGGTAAAGTACAATGCCTCTTTTTAAAATTAATATATGCAATAAAGAACCAACTCAGAAGTACCTTGCGCTCTGGCTGAGGGGGATGGTGTTACATCTGCCTTTCCCACTGTTTTACTTTCAGCACTGGCCTTTCCCCAAAAGCAGTGGATGAATACACAGTCCCCCACCAGATTGAAATTCAGAGGCATGCCATCAAAGCTGACAGGACCAAACCAAATGAGTAGAGGCCTTTCTCTCATGTTCTGCAAGGAGAGCAGGCAGGATACTTCAGCTTGCAAGAAGGGGGTAACTGGACTGTGTACAAAAGACTACTGTGTCCCTGCTAGGATGAGGTGGGCCTGCAAGAACTGCCAGGCACCCCAGGGGGTGGTGCAGGCACCCATCTGCACCTTGCCAGCTCCTTCTGTACTAACAAGAGCTTGATGCAGTGGCACTGTCCAAAATCAGGACACAGTGACTGTGCCATGGCCAACCTGCCTGATGTGGGACCTTCAGGAAGGGGGCATATGGTTTTTCTTGCAGTATAGCTGGGCATGAGGGCCAGCCAATATATTAGGAAGTCAAAGTTGGAATGCTAGAAGTTTTAATAAGATACCTGGTACAAGAAGAAAGGGAACAGCTTCAGCACAAAAAGCTTGCTATGAAAAACACTCCAGCCTTTCCAGAAAGCTGGCAGTCTTTCTTACAGAAATATCACAGGCAGGCAATTTTTGAGTGAAGCATTATTGCTGCTTTTATTTAGAGAGTCTGGTTATTAGGAAAGAAGAGTGTCTTTTAAGAATAGGGACAGAGTTACCACTCTGGAAAAACTTCTGGCTGACTTAGCAATATATAAAGGCCTATTAATTTATCATCTTAATTTCTCTTTACACCAATATTAAGAAACCACAAGCACTCTTGTGGAGACATTTCTAACAGCTGAAAACAGCAGAATGTTTTTTTTCCTTCTGCATGAAGGCAAGTCTGAAGATTATTTGCAGAAGGAGAAACTCCTCCATCGGATAATTGGTCTCGACAGTTCAGGGGGGTTGGCAATGACACACAGAGCCTTTCATTTCTTATAGGTCACTGCTGTAACTATGGCCAAAGTCAAGAGCAACTGGAAGTCATTATCAGCTGGTAGCTGTAGTAGTTTATCTGAAATCAGTTGGTAGCTCCAGTGCAGCTTCAGCAGGACTGAAGTCCATATGATAAAAGCCACTATCACTATGACATGTCTTTGTCTGAGGGAATAATCTACACACCTCCTGCATGGCAAGTGAACTGACTCTTACAGTTTGTCCCTGCAGCTGTCAGGAGACTGTGAGTAAACCCCTGTCTTCTGGGCACAGTTCTGATGCTGTCAGTCTAGCATCTATCATAATCACTAGGCTCAGGGTAGAATTACCATATAATGAAATTGATTTTGCACAATTGTTTCTTTTTAGAGACCTACTAAATCAGCCCTCTCTTGGATACTTCTGCTCTACAAATAGCAGTAGAGGGCCTGTGGCACATAAATTGAATCACACTTTATCAGAATCAGTGCACTACCTGTCAGGCTACCAGAACAATGCTACATTAAAAACCAGAGGCATATTCCTTCACAGAAATTTGTAGGCACTGCTCATCATTGGCTCTGGCATGCTTAGGAATATCAAGCAGAGTCAAAGAAACAGCTTTAGCTTGGGAAGCTAAAGCCATTCTCCCAAATATCTAGTAATTACAGGCCATTTACATTTATCTATCTAATATCTTACATTGCTCCAATATGGTGCCAATATTTTTTGTCCTGGCATTACTCACATTCCTCTATTTACAACCCACAGCAATGTTTGCAGTACTGCTTGGATTTATTCTGCTCCATTGCTTCTTACAGGGTTTTCTCAAAGGTATACTTGGCTGTAGACCAGTATTTCAGATTGGTCCTAAGAAAATTGATTACTTAATATTGCAGACTTACGAGACTTTCAAATAGCTGCCCAGATGTAGTTTAAGCAGTATGGGAATAAGAACAGTTTTTTGACACATGTTTATTAGTGGTAGTTTTGGCTTCATTCATCTGAAAAGAATGTGGTTTGCACGCTCTGAGACTGCACTGCAATGAGAAGCAAAGTGCACGTAATGGGGGTAGGCTGTAGATTTTTTCCAGAAGAGCACTCCTTATCCAAAGTAAAATATTAATGTATTCTACTTGCCACTAAAATATTTAAGCTGTTTTTATTCGCCAGGATCCAAAACCAGGTTGTTACGATTTCTATGCTATAAGAACATGGAATCTGAAAATAGTGCCTGGCTTCAAATAGCATTTGCAGCACCTTGTAATCATTTCATTGCTGTAAACTTTTATCAGTGGCTCAAGATGCAAATAATCATGAGACTCATCTTTAAATGAATAAAAACCTCTTATCTTCTAGTTTTATAGAAATAATATGAGAGCATGATAAGAAATGCTTCATATTAGGTTTCTAGGCTTCTTATAAGACATTGACAAGGAAGGTCATTTCTCCTAAAGCATGAGAAGAATTCTTGGCAGGATGGATACATGACCATTAGGAAGCTACAGCATCTATAAGTGGTGCAGAGAACAGAAGAGAGTGGCTGACCAGCTCTCTGTTTTTTAAAAGGAAACATTTCTTGCTTAACTGCATTATTACTCTTATTTATTTAGGATGCAGATTCACTAGCAGACCATTCCCTAGGTAAAAGGCTCTAGCACAGATCAGTTTTTGTTTTGTAGGGGGGAAAACACTAGAAGTTCTATTGTCAAGATGCTTTCAGAGCTGGAAAAGGATTATACCACATATAAGGTTTTTGGAGGTGTAGCTGTACTGCCAGAAATCTCTAATATAAATCTGCCCTTTACCTGAGGAAACAGATTACAGGAAACATTAAAAAATACTTACTGTGTAGCAAACTAAAACTAAGCTTAAAGAAAACCACATATATATAGTTCTATTATTCCAATGCAGTTTCTTAACTTGAAGGTTTATGCAAATTGACCAGCTTGCTGTCAGGTTGCGATTATGGTTAAGAATGTGTCAGTACTTCCATCATAACAAAACTTTGTGGTGTTTCTTGCTGAGATGGAAATGCCTGTCTTGCATTGAGAATTTTTATATGAGCCCTGTCAGCCTCATGGAAATTAAAAATGAAGCTGTGCAAAGAATTTAATAAAACTTACACTGTGTATTTTTTCCAAATGTCATTTTTTCAGTACGTGCTATATTCTGTCCTCATCAAAGGTGATGAGCCTTACAGAGTGTAGCTCCAGACCTGCATTTTGTCTTATGAACTGGCTATATTGAGCAACAATGAAGTGCTAAGAATATGAAAGCTTTTTGATTTGCAGCTTGGGTAGGCAAAAAGATAAATTGTAAGGGTTTTGAAGCAAGAAGGGATTATTATGGCATTATAAAGTCAGACAGGCAGCAATACAACCACCACAATTTATATCCTCTAAATATCTGCCCCATATATTCTAACTTTCCTACAAGTAATACCTCAGCTTCAAAGAGATTACATTTCTGGAAAATCCTGTGATGGACCTCGATTTGTAACATAAATAAGGTAAAAAGGCACAGGCTAATAAGTAGGCACTCAGAAAAAAAGCATCAGGAGAAACCTGTTTTTAATGGATCTGAATTAGTTTTGTACTATATATATATTTAAACTAGAAAACAGTATTGAGGTTTATCAGGCAAAGACCAACTCTTGGTTCTTTGGCCCCAGCTTAAACAAGGTGAAGGGCAAGGCACAATGGTCAAAGAAAACTGGAGCACCTGTGAGAGAAATCCCCAGCGCTTCAGAGAAATCCTCATTCTGAATGAAATACATAGTTCATTAGTGAAATCTTTAATCAAGACAACTTGCTGATAAACTATTAAAAAACCCTAACAACAACAACAGCAACAACAACAAATCAGTAGCATTACCAGGACTTTTTACCACAATTGAAACTCTGACAGTTTCTAGCTTGACCTCCTGTTTTCAGTGATTTATAAAAATGGGCTAAAATTCAGCAGATCAAAATAGTTTCTAAGCTGCTTATCTTTAGTTTATAAACTCCTGCCTCTTTTGGGCTTACAGCCGTGCTTTTAATGTTGGGTGGGTTTTTGTTTTTGTTGGGGTTTTTTTGTTTGTTGGTTTGTTTTGGTTTTTTGAGGGAGATTTTCCTGCCACTTATAATCTTTAAAATGTAGTAAAGAACATTTAACTCATGAGCAGCATGTCTTGCTGCTGTCACATTGGATGAAAATATTTCCAACAGTGCCTCTGTTAAAATGACACAAGCATCTTGAAGCGCCAGAATGGTAAAACACCTTTCAGGGAACAGATCCAATACAGACACCCTCCAAGCTGGATCAGATCCATTTTCATTTAAATTTGACCTAAATATCTGAATGCTCAAAAGGAACATGAATATGTTTACAGAGATTACCACAAAATTAAATTGGAATAGGATGTGGTGGATTTTAAGAGAACTGCTTTTCGACGGGAAAGCACAAGCCTGTGCTAAACTGAATACAGGCTCAAGACAATCTGAACCTCTGAGAAGCCCACAGTGACTCTGACCTTCCTATAGCTCCAGTGCTGGTTTCCCTTCATCCCGTGACAGTCATACAGTGTGACAGGGCTACTGTGCGAGACGGCGTCGAAGCAGAACTTCCTGGTGTGAAGCGGCTCCCCAGGGCGGATGTCTTCTCTCCAACCAAAGGTGAAGAGCTGGGAAAACAATCAGGCAATACAATCATGTATTATTATTGAAAAATGTTTAAAATAACACACACAAACTTAATGCAGGATGCTCTTTTTTGCACACCCCAGATGCTGGTTAAATAGGTCCTGCCTGTGTACGATTCAGTGATGCCAACTGCCTTAATTAAAGTGCATCAGTGGCCATGTAGAACATATCCCAGGAAGACACAATCCCAATGTCAGGGAAGGAAGAAATCTCCAGTGACACAGTACTGCAGAGAGGAGAGGGGATATGCTGCATTAAAGCCTTCAGTTACTCCAGTTAAAGCAGCACCTGTATGCACCAGGATTTCAGCTCCCTAGGACTCAGAAATCTGCCGCCAGTGATGTTCCTTTAGCCCTCATTTGGGTCTGAACAAGCTGCCCAGAGAGATTTTCCCATCACAGCCTCTCTCCTGTGTTTAATGAGCAGTTTCCTTCTGTTTATAAGGGACACTGTTACCATAGCTTCTCTCAACTGTCTTTTTCCCCCAAACAACACATGTTAAATGATCTTCATCTTTCTACTTTGAAACCTGTGAGCTACAGGCAGCTTGTCAAAGCCCTTTTTCTCACTGCCTGAGAGGAGTCATGGAGGGTCACAGTTAATAGAGGAATCCTTCTCAATTAGACACCAGCTGTCTGAAGTGATGCTGTGACACTGCAGTCTTTCAATCATTAGATGAAGGTGACAGTTCTGACAGCATCAAATTTAAAGACGTGGAGTGCATTTTCCTTTCCATGGACCTAATCTTGCAGAAAAGAGGTGCAGGCTGTAAATTACTACCTAGAAGCTCTGTCAAGAGCTGTGAGGTTATTTTATTTTCTTTCTTTTTTTTCATTTTTTGAGTGAGTGCTATTCTTCATCTTTCTGCATGACTTTTGATTTACCATAGGAAAAAAAAAAAAAGAAGCTAACACTGAGAAAGTGAAGCTCTCTTTAAATGAGCAAACTTTGCTAGTAGAAACTGTTCAGCTGAGATGGTTCATGCGCAACTGCACGCAGGCTCATTATCCAGAGAAGCAGCTCCCCAGACTGAATTCAGACTGTCTCCAACACCTCATCTCAGCTTCCTTTTGGCCCTTATCTAGCACCCTGCTCCTCCAGTGTGTACATTCCCTGATAGAAGCAGCTATAAACTGAAGCTTAATAAATATCATGTGGGTCTGATCCTGAACAATTCTGTAGTGGTTCCCAGGTTTCAACCTTTTCATTGCTATAGTGATCTTCTTTCCATAGCCTTCCTAAAAGAAACACCTCTTAAAAATATCGCATCTTCAATGCTGTACCATCCTCTGAATACCACATTTGAAAGATCTTACTGTCTCTCTTGGCTTATAGGCCCTAAATACAAGCATATATCAGGATATTTACCTTTTTTTCCCCTATCTTACTGTAAGCCCTTGTTTGCTCTGTTAGCTGCTGTCACTCCCTATTTATATCTGCATTATAGGTTTTCTAGAGAGTGTTTTCTTAATTTGTCTGTGGTCCTGCTTATTTCTTCCATCTCCCAGAGTGCATTTTACATTTATCTGCAGTAAAATGCAGTGGACAGCTTTACCCTTGTTTTCAAAGCAATTTCTGCTTTTCAAAAAGCAGTTCAATCTTATCCCACTTTTCTTCATGTTTCTTTGAAGCATCATCATGGACTCCCTACAATAACATCATTTCACAAGCAAAGACAGAAGTAAGGTTTGGTACAGAGAAAAAACTACGCTGCTGTTTCTTCAGGAAAAGAGAAGCCTAAGACAATTTTCCTTTAACGAAAAGCCAACAAAAGCCATTTTCTTTATCTTATCCTTTACCTTTCTACAGGAACATAATAAACCTAGAGTTCAAAGTGATGAATAACAAATACCTAGAGGAATGGTGTGGAACAGTGCTTCTGTGATATTCTCCCTCTCATTAGTACTACTGCAGAGAGAGATTCTATTTCAGGACCAGCCTCATCTTTCCCAGTGGGTGGCTCACCAAATTTCTCATTCTGTGCATGAGCTGTGAGCTGAGGGACCAATTCTTGCTGCTCTCTGGACCTTGGCCTGAGGACTAGTACCCCACTGAATGCATCGGTACACCTGAAAGAGCTCAAGCCAGCCTTTAAATCAAATCATACTGATCCAAACTATTCCTTTGCTCTTTTCCACTCCTCTGTGGTTTCTGAAGACTGCCAGGGCTGTGTCCTGTTTGCAAGTCAAGACATGGTAACAGCAGAGGGCTTTTATTCCCTTCCACTGAAAATTAAGATCTGTGGAATACTAGATCTCAATGCTTAGACTAGCTTAGAGTCTTTTTCCTCCTTCTTTATCCTCCCATTTAAAAAAAATGTTTTGTTTTTAAATCAACAAGTATGTCTTCTCCCTAGTGATATTATAAAACCAACCTTTTTAGGCACAGGAACTCAGTTTTAGGACTAAGAGAGGAAAAAGAAAAAAAAATCAGAAAAACAGTTATATTTCTCTATACACCCAATTGGTATTAAGATCTTGCAATTACAGACACAGCATGAAGGTGTACAATCTTTCCAATCTCATAATTCTAAGCTTTCCTCTTTTAAACAGCAATTTCCCTCTAGTTAAAACTGGATCTGGCCAATATAAATATTATCTCCCCGCTGCATAATGTCCAACAATGCTACATGTTATTAGCTGGAGCCCAGAGTATATAATGTTCTGCCTTGCCAGCACTTGTCATTTTGGATTTCATTGCTCCTTTGTTAGGAACAAACTGTGTCAGATTTTACAAGAAATGGCTGAGCCTTTTTGTACCCTTTTTGTACTTCATTCATTTCTGACTGCTTGTTGATTTGAAACAAGCTGCACAAAATTCCCAGACACGTCGTTCACAGCAGCCTGATTCTTCACCTGCAACACCTGCAACACATGGGGCTGCTGTTCACTGTTCCCTGCTGGACCCAGAAACCCTCTGTCCTGTCTCAGTGGATGCTCATTCTCCTCTTTCGTTTTCTCTCATACCAGAGTCTGTAAAACACAGCCCCATCCTCTGCGTTTGCAATCAAGCAACCCCTCAGCCCTCATGCTTTGCCTTTTCATGTAGCCGAGCCCTGTCATGCAGTAACTGGGAAATACAGCTTTCCAGCTTCATTTACAATTGGCACAGGGCCTGAAGAATGATTGCCTGATAGAGCCATTGGCCTGGGACTGTCTCTAGGACAAAGGCCCTTTTGATGCCATTAATGCTTTCCAGCCTGGCAACGTCGCTCAATTACTCGCTGTCTGGCTGGGGTCCGTCAGCTGGCGCTGTGCTTTGACTGTGCCATTACACTTGAGGGGACAACGTGTCCCCCCCATCCAAAGATGAAATGCCACGTTTCAGAGCTGGGCTCTGGCTTGAACTATACCTCCCAGTAGAGAAGAAAGAGCTGGGCATTTGCTGAGCCATGTTAGAGATGGTGCCTGTCCACCCATTCCTTGGCAAAGCTGGGGAAATTGATGAGACAGTGATACTTGTAATTTTTCTTTGCTGTTGGTTATCAGTCCAGCAGAGCCTCAGTTTCCCCTGAAGCCAAAAGCTAGCTTTGGGAAGACAGAGATTGATGAATGCAGTGCCATGACATATCCTCCCATCCCTTTTCTTCCCCTCCAGTTCTCAATTTTGGGGAAGTTTCCCAAAACCACAGTGACACATCCTCACTTCTCACCAATCTCCTGTTTACCAGAAAGCCTGCGAGCACCCCACAAACCTTTTGACTGCTGCTTGCCCAGGGGCTTGCACAGCCCTAAGGTGGAAAGTCATCTTTCTCTCCTGGGATCTGCTAAAGGGCTGTGCTGTGGTGTCTGAGACTGTCAGCTTTTAATTCCTGCCCTGGTAACATGACATGAATCAAGCAGCACAAAGGATCATCTCTGTCTGACACCGACGCCTGTCGCACTGGTCACATTAAGCTATTACTATAGCTTGCCACTGAACTCTAAATCTGTACCAAAAGTTACAAGTCCACTTCAGCGCCAATCCATGTTATTCGAAATATGATAATAAAATACTTGATACTTTCATTAATTCTGCTAGTTTCTACTGGTGTACGCAGAACTCATCGAGGCTACAAATTCCGTGAGACCTAAAGAAGGAAGAGGAGCGCTGTGAGGCTGGCCCGGGGCTTGATGCGCCACGGACGAGTGTGACAGCAGCGCAGGGCTGGCCCTGAGGGGCGCTGGCCCTGAGGGCGGCCGGCCATGAGGGGCGCTGGCCCTGAGCGGGACTCGCCGTGAGGGCGGCCGGCCCTGAGGGGCGGGCGGCCGGTGCCGCGGCGGGCCCGTTCCGCTGGGCCGCGCTGCCCCCTGCCGCACGGCAGCCGCACCGCCGCAGGGCTGAGCCGCTCCCGGGAAGTTTTCCGAGCTCTGCGGCAGTGCCAGAGTATGCGCTGCTCCCCGCCAGCCCGGCAGAGACGATCTGTGCTGTCCCTGGGGCACACGTCCCAGTGCTTGAGGCTTCCCAGCTCTGGTTCTGGGGTCTAAGGAGCTGCCTGGTTGAACTCCCTTCGTGCTAGCTTCACCTGCAGATTCTAAGGAAGTCACTTTGTGTCCTTAGCACAGAAGCAAGACCTTTAGATCCAGTCTGATCCCAAAGGTTGCAGCAGCCTGAAGTACGCTGAAACATGGATTCCTCCCTAACATCTTTCTCCCTTCGTGTCATTTCCCCTCTGTTCCAGCCTTTACTCTTTCGAAGGATATTTCAAGTCTCCCTTTTCTCTGCTAACATTTTTATTTTCTCACCTTTTCATCCAACTTTTTTTTTTTCCTTTCTCGTATCTGGCAGCCTCAACACTCCCCCTCCCTTCTTGAGGAGGGTTTGAAGCTGTGCAGATTTTAAAGCCAGAGAACACTGTGATGCATTTAGTCTGGACCATTCAACTTCTTTCAATTAACTCCCTGAATTACTGTATGACTTTCAGAAACAAAACAATTATATTTATCTAGTTTTGGCACCCAATCCCCAAGCAGTATCTTTGATAGCTATCTGAAGAAGTCTTCTTTCAACAACTTTTTCTGGGCCATGTTGTCACTTACCTAAATTGAGATAATCCTTCAGCTTCTTGGTTTCATGCACTTGCAGCTCTCCTCCTGCATCCTCAGAGCATGCTTTTTTTACCTCAGCACTTCAAATACCCCTCAGAACTCCTCTCTCTGCGCTGATCAGTTTTCACAAAGTGTCGTGTGACTGCCATACCACACTGTTGTGTGACATACCAGGTCATTTTTCTCCTCAGCATTACAAATCTTTTACTAATCAAGGACCTTTTCCTTGCTCACTAAATTTGCTAATAAATGGTTAGGTTGTAGTTTTCATTTGGATTCTCCTTGCTCACACTGGCAAGACCCACGGCCTGTAAGTCATGATCCCTTTCCTATGGCGCTCACAATTAGTAAAAATTAGAGCTCTTTTCCTCCATACTCCTGACAACTAATAGTTTTCTACCTAACCAACCTAAAAAAAGCTTTGAGTCTTTATAATTCCTTGTCTTTTGAAATGCTTTTTTGCTTGCTTTTACCCATTTATCTCATTTATGCCTCATATTTGTTTAAAATAGAACTGCTTGTTGAGAAAAAAGCATAAAAACAGACAATGACTGGAGCTGTAAAAGGCCTGGTACTATAGTTAAAATATTTTCAGGTAGCTCAACCAAAATCAACATGTTTTCATGACATGGTGGTAGAGAATGGGGCCTCAAAAAGCTCTCTGGGCACTGCAATTCCTTTTGGAAATGAAGATGGCTCAGGTGGCTGTTGGAATTTCTGAAGTTATGTTAAGGAGTACTTTGTAAAAGCCATGAAGGTCAGGATTAATTCAAAAATTATTTCTACACTCTGTTTTATCTTAAGAAAAGGAGAAGCCCTCAGGAAATGTTTAAAAACTGGCAAAGAGAAGCAACAATGTTACCTTGATTTCCTCTTTCCACCGTTAAAATAAATACCTGTTCATGTGACCATGTGCGTTCTGAGCCGTCCTTCACACAGATGTCCAGCCTCAGCTCAGTCCCTGTGGCTCCGTGTTTGCTGTCCACACACAGGTTGGCTGCCACGTTTCGAATCTGCAAATCCAAGCAGCAACATTTCACATTAAACTGGGCTGCAGAATGGAGCTTTCAGCATTAGGGGGTTAGGGGTTTAGCTCTGAAGGACTTGAGATTGACTATCAGTTAGTAAAACTGGTAAGAATTACTTTTTACAGGGTAGAGAGCTGTGTCCTGGTATGAACTACTCTTTATAGGAGCAGCTTCAGAAGAAGCAAAGTTTGAAATATTCTGCTTAACAAATGAAAGGTAGGTCTTATGAAATACCTTCACGCAAAAAAAAAAACAACCTAAAGAGAACTTCAAAGCTTGTCTGACTGCTTCTCCCATCCTATGAGAGCAAGAGAGATCAACAGTATTAGAAGGAACTGATTTCTGTATGAGTTTCTCCCAGGCATGGGAGCAGTCAGCACACATTAGAAATTCAGGCATGCCCTGCTCCAATCCATGCTCTTACTTTGACACAATAACACCATTGTAGATAAGGTCACACATTACTCCCTGAAGTGCATAAAATTAAAAAGTACTTAACAAGTCTGCACTGAAACCTAGGCTTTTAAAAAGTACTTAACAAATCTGTACTGAAACCTATGCTTACCCATGGAGGTTCCTCCTGCATGCCTGCTGCAAACATTGCAGTGTAACTTGTTCTTAAAAGGAAAATCTTGTTCTTGAGGCTGAAGCAACTGAGTAATAATTAATCTATGACTATCAATCATACCAGTTATGTACAACTGCTGACATGTACATTTTCTCTGAAACATTGGGTTGAAAAGTAGATTTGCCCAGTACCACCAAAAAGAGCAAAATCCTAACTTTGTGTTGCAAATCCATGCACATTTCTCCTTGAGTTCCTTAGCTGGGCTAGTTAAAAATCCTTTAGACACCTCCATAATGAAAGGAATTTCTTAAAAAAACTTACCCTCTCAATGAGATAAAGAGAAACTGAGTAACCAAAGTGCACGGAAACACGCACAAATTCTAGACATATACTATATAGAAAGCAGCTACATATTTTGACATTCTGGATGCTACTTTGATCCTTTTTAAAAAGAAAGCTAGATGCTTTCTAGAATGGAGATACAACTGAGTAGTCATATGTGCTTTTTCATGAAAAATACTTTAGAAATCACTGCTGTTGCCATAATATGCCTAACAAACGTACACATTGCCACTGCATACCTCACACACATCCTAAGGATGCAAAACTTCACAGCATTGCGCAAAACATTGCGAGGAAGGGAAATCCTTGTGCATGCAAGACACATGCCAGAGCCACTCTGCTCTTTTTCTGATTCTGCAGGAGTGGGATCCAGTGTATTAACCATGCTCAAGAAAGATTTACACAGATGGGAACGCAACAGGTAGTGAGAAAATGTAAAAAATGTAAAATGTAAAAACTCTCAGGAAAGGTTTCAGGAGGTGCATTTGTTTAGCTTAGAAAATTGCAGACTGGGCAAAAGATGGGGGAGCATCAGTTTGAACAACTGCCTCCAGGAACCTTTGATCTTTCACCAGGGCTCAGAGAAACATTAAAAAAAAAATTGAACCAGCCCAGTCCTAGGATATTTTTTGTTTTTTCAATACAATAGAAGTTGCTAAAGATAAGGTAAAACACTAGCTGTTCATACACGCAACCAGATACAGAAATCCAGCACTGGGCAGACCCACAGTAAAAAAAATGAAAGGTGATTAGTTCTCAACAACCTTCATTTTAATATTACCCAGCAAAAGAGGCAGGAAAGAAAAATGAGGGGAATAGAATTTAATGACCTATTTTTAAAGTTTCATGTGAAATAACTTCTCAGAGTATAATTTTTTTTGGAGAATGTTCAATCATTTTTCAATGCACTTAAATTTCCATTGTATAGATAAAGATTTCTAGTCTAATAGAAAATTTAATGATACATCAGTTCAGTTCTTACAGCATGCAAGTTAATTAAAATGGAACTGCTAACAATTGCCATTAATAATTGGGTATATTTATGTGACTCAGAATTGTAAAATGACAGTGAATACACTCCACATCCAATTAATGCTTAGTGCATTAAAAGGCTTTCATAATTTTGTCTCGATGGCATCGCTCCATCCCAGTCTCTCTCATTTGGACTGTGTAGTAAATGTGTTCAGTCCATTTCTGGAAAAGGCTTGAGCTGAAGCTACATTTAGTTCCTTCACTGCTGGAATCTGTCTCACATTCTTTATTTCCTGTCCTCTTCCCTCTACTCCTGGAAGGTTTGATTGAGTTAGTTTTTCCTCTGTTTTTTGCAGCTTACATGTTAGCTCGTCCTTTTTTTGTTTCATCCTTTCAGCTGCAGAGGGGTCATGGTTTGTTTTTTGTTTTCTTTTTGTAATAAGGCATTTCAGTCAAGTCTGTGCTTTTGTTCTCTGGCATTTCTGTGTGGCCTTGGCAGTTGCTAGAAACTGAACCGAGCCATCATGCCAGAGCCAGAGCCACGGGGAACATTCTGCCAAGCATCAGCACCACACAGCCTGCAAATCCCCTAAGATGCTTTCATGGATAAAGGAAGGAAAGCAGAAGCACAGTTTTTTTTTTCTTCTCATTTATACACCAATATGCTTTTGAACTGCTTTGTCTCCAGTCACACAATGGATTTAGAATTTTTAAGGTTATGAGATACAACTAGAAAACAAATAGCTAGTGATCCTAACATGTTTCCAACATTCCTATTTGTGAAATTGTAAGACCAGGGATGAACAGGAGACAGATTTTATCAGCCATGAAGGTAAGGCATTGAGTTGCTACATACAAAACTTTTTTGCTCAGCCTTAAATGCCATCATTTGTACACACAGATAAGCATACAGGAAAACCATGTTTCCAAGGACTTCGATGTATGCACTGACAAGGATGGTAAGTGGTGATATTAAAGGCTATTTCAGAATTAAACAAATTCTGCTAAAAGCACAAGACGCTATCTCTAAGTCATCATACATACTTAGTTCTTGAAATGCCACCCTAACTCCCTATGGGCACTGTAGTCCTTGCAGAGAGCAGATGAGGTGTAGAAGCATAGAGAATACAGCCTCCTAGAGACCAGAGTTATACTGACCAATATTCTTTGGTAATTCTAAAACTCTACAACTTTTCCCAGGTAAATGGGTTCCTGCAAGACTTGCTGTTGAGGTAGTAGCTGATGTCCTGGCTCCTGCAGCCTTGCCCCACCTGCCCAGGAGCCAGGCTGTCACCAGGTGTAACCCACTTCACCCTTCATGGAGCCTGGGAGTGGTGAGCCAAACTCCCAGGGGTTCTGGGAGCTGCCCTGCATGCTCACCATGACATGAAATTCTCTGTGCCAAAAGCAGAAAGAGGGAAAGTGTAGCAATCTAAAGACAATTGTATGTTCAATATTGTCATTTGTGAACAATGACTGTGGAGATGGTGTTAGGACAATGCTTACGGATACAGTAACAACAGAAGCACCTTGTACTATTAGTTTATGTAATACTCTCCCCTACATCTGATTTAATGCCTTAAATATGAAAATGGATTTAACTCTTAGAAGACATTAGCAGTATTCATTTATGTTACTTTTCTTTTGTATGAGCAGCACTTAGAGCCAGTTTTAGTGCACTGCTTACATACTCAGATAACCCTAGGGCCATCAATGTCTATGGATCAAATATATAAAAATGAGCCACTTCTTCTGTCAACCAATACACAGTAATTTTAGAACTATTTATCCTTTGTGTGAGCCATGAAAAAGAAAAAGTCAAAGGTAAAGAAGTCAAGCACTGCCAAAAACCCCACTGAAGAAACACGGGACTCTTACTCAGTGTGACATTGATCCTGATAAAAGAATTTGAACAGTCCAGCTGTGCAGCACTCGGTCTGTGCAGGGTGGGGTTATATTGCTTTTGTTCATCATATGTGTGACACTTGCTGGGCTCAGACTGACTCATTAAGGGTATGAGGATGACACATTTTAAAAGAAGGAAAATAACTGAAAGAGAAGTTAGTCAGCTCTTAGGCTTTCTTCTTTTTTCAAATGTGCCACATTGACTTTATATGCCACATTTTCATGGCAGTGCTGTAAAAATCCATGAGTTGGGGGCTGAGAAAGGAGTACTCTCAGGTTCTACAGCTTAGCACTGCTGCACTGACTGAGACATTTCCTCATTAAATTATTGAAGTTCATGTAACAGCAAGTGAAACCAAGATTAAATAATTCCCTTTTGACTGAATAAAAACTTTTTTTTGCATCACCTTGACTATAGAATTCATGAAATCTAAAATAAATGACAATGTCTGATATTATATGATTGATTTAATGCAAAATGTGTTTTCAAAGATACTGGAAGCTGTGATATCTGCACAATATACTCATGCTGGATCACAGCTTGTAAATTCATGAGCACTTCCTAAGAAAACACCTTGTGGCAAATTCACACCTATTGTTTTAGGTAGGACTTCAAATTCACATTACAAATATATTATTCTGTCTTTAAAAAAGCATGGGATGGGTATTACTGTTTTCAACTTGGACCAGACTTTCCAGAATATTCAAAAGAGTAAGAACAAAACCTAATTGAAAATGTTCCTCTTTTCCACAGTGGAAAAGAGTACAGTTACGTCACTCAAACAGAGAAGCACCAGTCTCACTAACCTTAATCTATCTGGATTTGCTGTTACATTGCTCTACTGCACATATTTCAGATGTTACATGGCAGAACAGATTATCAAGGGTATGTAGACCCTGCCAGCTACAAGGACAAAGGCACAAACACACATAAGATATAAGACCATGATAAGTGTAGAAAAAAACTTGCTTTTTGTTTTTGTTTTCAAAATGTCCTTATTTTCTATCATAAACAGATTTTTTCAAGAAATGTAAGAGTCAGATTTTAAATAAATGTGTTTGCAAAAAAAGAGGAACTGAGCAGAGGCTGTTTAAGAGACGTCTGCTTTCACACCACATGCTTTTACTAGCTAGATATCAAAATGCTAGAGTCAAATTTGTCTGTGTACTTCATTGTTTACTCTTTATCAGACTGGCACAGGCAGTCTGATATAAAGTATTTCAAAATGGAAGCAGAGAGGGTACTAAATGACAGTCAGTATTGGCACAGACTTTTGGTGTGTATAATCAGCAAGGTTTCAAGAGCTGAGTGATTCCTACAAAGCAGTAATATTACAGTCTGCTTCCCTCTTTCGGCTTCTCACAGCCATTGACCTTCAAGGTCTTTCAAGGTCCTTGCAAGTGCCAACAAATTAATTAAAACTGCACAGGAATGTGACAATCTCAGGAAAAACAAGAGAAGGAGGGCTGATAGTTCTCTTCCTGTCATTTTAGAGAAAGTATGTTTTAGACAAAAAAGAAAATCTTTGGTCTTCATGTCCTTCCTAAGAACTTGGTAAATGTTTTTAAGGCACAGATTTCACACCATTGGTATGATTTTGATTTACTGTTAAAATACCTGGGTTTATGCAGAGATTATATTAATATTGCTGTGAAAAGAATGAATACCTGAATCACAAGCTCCTCCTCTTAGACCCTCTTGATTGAGTTAAGGATTGTCCAGCTGGCCAGAGAAATTACACATCTCCTGATCCCAGTCCTCCAAGGACGCCCATGTATAAATATGAAAGATGGTGAAGGAAGATCACAGTAGGAGTCACAGCAATCTGATCCAGCCTGACTTCTACTGATAAATTCCTTACCTCTCACTACACATTCATCTCATAAAGTGGGCAGCAGCATCAAAAAGAAGAAACTTTAACAACAAAGGAATTCATTACTGCCAAGAAGTAGCAAACAGTATGACACATATAAATTGGAGTTTTTTGAACATCTTTAACTGATCGCTTATAAAGAAGAATTAAGGATTGCTAGTACCAGAGAAATATATTTTAGAAATCTCACTATGAGGTAATTTGCCTTTCTAAATATAAATTCTGGAGAATAGTAGAGGTTCCTATGTTTAGAAGTCTATGGTCCAGTCTTGACCACTGAGAATATGCAGACTTGTGCCTGATCTTACCAAATGTTTTGGTCAAAGTTTCAACTTCAGCCTCTGGTTTCAAATATGAAAGTTAATTTTCTGAGAGCCCCAAGAATATACACAAAAAATCAGAAAAGGCTGGAACTCACAGTACAGATATTCCTATAGTTTTTAAAAAGTAGCACAATACACTGGAAGAGTGAAACTTTCTTTATATATCTTAATAAACTGAGAGGAAAGAGCTTTCTGCACATGACCTATCCACGGTGTGAAGCTGCTGTAGTTCTGGGGGCAAAAGCCACAGCAATTTTTCAGTGCAACTAAGGAAGTAATTTCTTCTCATTGCTCTCCTTGTGTTCTCATTTCTTCTGCACAAAACAAACTGTTAAAGCAAGGTTTGCTACAGCTCTGCTCTTCACAAAGGTCTGAATGCAGAACATCTTTGATCACAGCTGGCTGTTTGCTCAGCCCTTGCTCTGCGGTGATGCTTTTGTGGTCTCTCCCTCCTCTCGTCCATCAATGGAGAAATTGTATTTGTCTGCTACTGGTACTCAGTGATGACAGCACTTACAGAATTCATAGAACAGCTGAGCAAGATCAGTCATTTTAAAAGGAAAGTATCCAGGCTTTGCTTTTCACATTTCATGTGTGAGCAAACCTAACTCCATCTGCACACAACTGTCCTTGTAAGGACAGCAGGAGTTATACCAGTAGATATGCAAAAAATCCCAAGCAGTGACTTCAGACCTACTTTTTACTAAGGTGATTTTCCGAATCTCAAATCTTCTGCGACATGCAGTAATGAGTGCTACATACTTTTTTACTCATTCTTGTCCTCATTGTGCATACATCATATGCCCTCTACACACAAAGTTGAAATGAGTTACAAAAGCAACAGTGATAGTTCTAAGATAGTTCTCATTTTAATGGATAGTTCAGGGACTATTTTAACCTCTGTGATAACACTACTTAACATCAGGTTTACTCTCATTTAATAGTTTTAATTTCCCTCAATCTAAAATGTTGGATTCATTTAAATTCAATCTATTCCTCACCTCCCCCCAGGCAGCAGGTGGAGGCTCCACAGGAGGGTAATATTTGGGGACATCCCAAGCCACTGCAGCCATGAACCACTTGAAATCTTTACACTTGAGGTGCTTGCGCAGCTCCTTCTGGGCAGAGATGTCACCAGTGGAGAGATGTCTGTACTCGGGCCGTCGCTGGTAAATGTACTCTGCAAACTCATCCATCCACGTCTCGGCCACTCGCTTCAGGTTCTGTGGGGCACAAAAAAGAGTAAACCTTAATTTCCTCATGTTTTGAGTGAATGATATTCATAACAGGGAAAATGTAAAACTAAACAAAACAAGAAATCAGCTTTCCACACAATTTTTAAACTTAGCTGGTCTCATTTCTCAGTCTTAAAACCTGGAAGAGGTCCAGTAACCGTATGCTATCTTTATTGCACTGTTGAGCAAACACTACAGAGTACTAAGTACCTTGCTTTCCTGCTGGCTCTGTGAGAGACAGCCTTCATCTTTTGAACATCTTATTTTCCTTCACATTCTTTATGCACATTCTTCATATGGGTTTTTGATTAATGATGGATGTTGAACAAAAATTTCCTTTCTGCTGCTTACATTGGCCCCTGTTTTTTCAGACCTGCTAATGTGGAAGAATGGTTCAAATTCTTCCTTCTGATGTATTTCACTTTGCATTTGAAAGGCATTTGAATTTCAATCTGTCATGATACTGCTTAGTCACCAAGCAATTCCTACCTAAATTTTAGGGTGAGATCTTACAAGTGAATGTTTGGGGGCAAGCAGCCCTGAAGAGGAATTGATCTGAAGAAAAAGACCAATCCTCGAATAGGAGCCACAACAACCTGTGGCTTTCTGCACTCACTCATCCTGTGAACATATCTAAGACTATTTAGGTTCCATGAAACCCAGTTCTGGCTGTGTTCCACAAAGTTCATTTTTGTTGGCATTTTATAGGAAACAGAGTTACCTATTTTGCTGCATAAGAATATATTCAAATTATAATTAATTAAATTAGCTGCCTCAAATTATATAATAAAACAAGTACCATTGCAAAGAAAAGTCCTGGGTAGACTGAAAAGATATATTTTATTGTTATTTACCACCAAGAAGGGGGCATTTTTTTCTGTATTTTTGTTTGATTTTAAAATTCCTCCTGTAACTCAATCCACACAAATTTATATGCAGATGTTGTAGTGGAGTATGGGCTTGGTCTATTCTATATTGTCACAGCTACCCAATAACCTTTTATCCCACCAACAAAGCAACATCTCTCTGGATGACTTTGAGACACTAGGGTGTTCTTATTATTATTCTTATCTTATATTGCTTTGATTGTAAAAACAAGATAATCAAGTTTTATAATATTCTTTTTATAGAACACTAACTACAAAATGCTGAGATTCACTCTGTAATAAGCTGGAGGACAACATACATCTGATTACCATCAACATAAGATAATGTTTCTTTTCAGAACATTCTCTGCATCTAAGTAAGCTGGATTCATACTCTGACTTGCCTTCAAGATTCACTGGAAAATTCTTTTCCTGAATTTTATTAATCTATGTATACTAAATGTCTCTGAACTAATAAGGCTTATCTGAATACAAAGACAGCAAGACACAGAACAAAGGAAGTACTTTTAGCTGACACTGCAAGATAAGTTTCTGTGTACTTTCTCTCTGTGAAGCAAGTATGCTAAACCTGCAGGTATAAAGCAAGTAACATTAAAGCAGTGTAAGAATTCACAACACTCATATCCTTATTCAAAAATGGCTTGAGCACCACATAAGTTTGACTTGTGCTGTAATTTCATGAAGACCTAAATAACTTTACAAGAAATTAGAATTCAAGAACAGGAACTGGGTAGGACAATGAAAACCAGAAAAAAATCAAGAACGTCATCTAAATGACAATCTCACTTTTCTAGCAGAAAACCTGTAACACAGAATTTTTCTGACACATACAAATATTATGTGATGAGATTTTGTACATGAGGCAAAAAAATATTATTAGGAACATTAAACAAAAATACAAAATAATGAAAATATGTGTGATTTCTAGCATAACTTTCACTGCAATGCTGCATACCTAATTTGCTACAAATGCAAATGCAGTTGAGGACTGTTCTATAAAATAGTTTTTTGCAATCACTTCATCTGATAGGATTTAAAAACCATACTATAAAAAGAGCCATACAGTGAATGTACAGTAAAAAATAAAAAGTTCTCTTGGGAAAGAAAAATTCAAGGTAAGTCTTGCACCACCTATACTAGAAGTAGTCTCCAATGGACTTTCTTCTTTAGTTACTTGGCTGCACTAAAAGGACTGCATTCTGCTTTAGATGATTGTTACCGATAAAACAGGAGTGCAACAAAAATCTTGATATTATACCTGGTCACTAACTCAAAATTTTAATTCACTGGTCAAAAACTTTTTGTTTTCCAATACCACGTTTATAACTGTTCGGTTTTTTCATGTGTGTTTTTGTGTAAACCCACCAAACTCAGTATTAAGAAAAAAAGTCAGTTCTTCCCACGATTCCCCAAGTATCAGGTAGGAACACTTTGGATAAATCTACTTAAAACTTTGCTTTCCTGTTCTTCCAAGACCATTCTTTCCATCATATGCTAAAAATCACCTGTAATGAACTAGTATAGTATCCTTACTATGTTTATACATTGATTTCATAAGCCAAACCCTTCTGAGGCAGCCCTTTCAATAGGTTTGTTTTTAAAAATACAGACTCTTGATTTGCTAGCTCTAAATCTCCAGACTACTTATGAACATGACCAAACAGAAAACTGTTCTGGAGTAGTAAGAAGCTGTTTCTGGGGCAAGCACTCAGCATCTAAACAAATTAATTTTAAAGAGGTTTGTTGACCTCACTTAGCCTGGGTTAGGATTTCTTATCCTTATTACCACTACACAAGCTCACAAATCACCATACTTTCTTTTAACATAAATGTGTCCAGACTAGTAGTAAAACTCCCCATGCTTGAATTGAATGCAGTCAAGAAGAGCTGCTGTACTGAAAGCTGGTTTGGTGCAACCTTGCACAGAAAAGGCAAACATCATTTACCTTCTTGTTTAGAACACAGCATGTTCCTAGAGCAAAAATACAGGCTGTCCAAGATGAGATGGGTGAACTTGTAAGCTGAAAATTCCCATTCTGTGGCTGTCTAGCAGCATGATAAATTGCAGAGAACCTCATAGGATCATAACTCTTGTCTGACAATTATGGTAGGGAGCTGCTGGGCCTTTACTCATCCTATCTGAGGAGCACAACCAAAACAAGAGCCCTCATCTCAGAGCACTTTAGGGCTACCAATCAAATGACTTACTGCAAGGTAAGGATGTGATGTCAAGTCCTTTACAAGTCTTCCAGAGCTGTCATTCCCATAATTTGGGTGGATGTCTGACACAATGCATGGAGGAAGGAGAATGGTCACTTCCTCCTTGCCTGACCCTTAGGTGAGGCTAGATACAAGCTGAGCATGTCATATAAGCACAAGTGGGACTGGTTTTGAATAGCTACCCAATCTTGACAGAGTCTAGCTGTAAACCAGGCTTTAAGCAGTTTGATAGGATTTTACTCTGTGTCGGTATACTCCCCCAGAACTTGCAGGCCAAAGAACTTTAGGAGCCTTCCAGATTAGGTTGCATTTTGTGAAAGTCTTTTCATCATCATGAGACAGTTAAGTTTCACAGTGAAAGTAATCTTCAAGTAATTTAGAGTCTACAGGAATTCGATTTCAATCTTCTTGATTTCTGTCTCCTGTTACTATTTATGTTATTTTGTCCAGAACACTCCTTTAAAAAGTTTTTCAAATGGCATCAAATACCACTTATAGGAAGAACCAGTTTGGGGATATCTTTGTGGTAGATCACTCTTGCTTGGATTCAATCTGAAAGCTTCATGTAAATGAATGTGGAAAGGAAAAAAAGAAAAACAGAATCATGGAATCATTTAGATTCAAACTGACCTCAAGGATCATTGAGTCCAACTGTTAGCCCATTATTGCCAAGTCCACCACTAAACCATGTCCCTAAGTGCCACATCTACATGTCTTTTAAATACCTCCAGGGACGGTGACTCAACCACTTCCCCGGGCAGCCTGTTCCAATGCTTGACAACATGTTTCTACAGCTGAAAATGGCGTAGCTTAGCTTGGTTGACAAATTCACTGCAAGGCTACAGATGTCCAGATTGGTTACTCTTAATAGGAAAAAAAAAAAAAAGGAAAAAAATTAAATAAAAACAATTCAATGAAGATCAAGTAATTATTAACTAGTTACATGAATTGACCTACAAAATAAAGAAGTCAGAGGGACTCTAAGTGGACATCTGAGGAGGTTCTCAGGACCTATCCAAGAAGACCCATGACAATTTGTTCTCTCTTTTGTCATTTTCAGTGGAAAATTTCTGTATGAGAATAAATAAGGCCAATGGTATTTCAGTAGATGCATATTTCTATATGTTAGGTTGTAACAGCTGTCACAAAGAAACTGTGAGATGAATACAACAGTGACAGCAACCACACTGAGTCATCAGCTGTCATCAGTTGCTCATTTACACATTCTTGATATAATCTTAATCACTGTTACAATTTTACTCTCTGGTAAATTCTTACCACTGGGCTTACATTTAGACAACTTTTATTTAAGTTTATATGAACTCACACATTTAAGACTGCGATTTTGCTTTGCATTTTTAATCAATGATAGCCTACAAGACAGTAAGGTACAATGTCACGGACACATGGATGTCATGGTTTAACTTCAACTGACAAGTAAGCACCACATAGCCACTTACTCAGTCCTCCTTAAAGGAGCAGGAGAGAGAATCCAAAGAGTGAAAGTGAGAGAACTCAAGAGTTGAGATAAAGACAATTTAACAGGGAAAGGAAAAACTGTGCACACAAGCGAAGCCATTCACCTCTCCCCATGGAAAGGCTGGTGTTCAGCCATCTCCAGGAAAGCAGGGCTCCTTCATGCCTAATGGTGACTTGGGAGCACAAACACCATCACTCTAAACATCGCTCTTTCCTCCTTCTTCCTCAGCTTTATATACAGAGCCTGATGCCATATGGTCTGGAATATCCCTGTGGTCAGTTTGGATCAGCCGTTCTAGCTGTGTCTCTTCCCAGCTCCTTACCCTGCTTGCTCGGTGGGGGTGGTGGTGTGAAGAGCAGAAAAGGCCCTGCTGAGCAATAAGGAAAATATCTCTACACTGA